TAGATATTATAAGACAAGTTTGCTGTGTATTTATAGCAGAGTTTGCTCTCCTGCAAAAAGGCATGTACATTCTTTCTATGCGAATGCAAAATCAAATGTTACCAGGCTATTTTTTCATTAGGTCAGATGTTCCTGAATCATAAGTATAGCATGAATCGGGATAATATCACATTATGGCCACTAGATGGAACTGCTGAGATTAATATATTTTTTTACTACCATTGTCGGCTCCATCTAGTGGCCATAAGGCGGTATTTTTTTTCACTCTATTCTTATGAATGAATGAGAACATCCAACCTGGAGGAAAAAAATGGCCTAATAGCATTCAGTTTTGCCTGCATTTCTTAAGAATGAATGTGTATGCAGTTTAGCAAGATGAACAGCTCTGCAATTTTTAAATAAATACACCTCAGACTGTTCAGAGCTCAGCAGTCACTCTATTCCCTGTTTTTTTCCTTCATTTCTGCTGGGATTGTTACCTGCAAAGAAGATATGTTCTGCATGTTAAATACAAATCTTCATAAATTGATTTACACAATTACTTTAACTGGAGAATAGAAATAAATTAATTACTTTTTTTTTCTGATTGTGATACTAATTCTGCCCAGCAGATTAGCAATGCCTAAGAGTCACCATATTATAATAAGAATTTAAAAATCTTTTAATACCTATGGGGTACTGAAACTTTTTTTTTTCAGTTTCATAATTACTTATATATGTCTAATCCGCAGTATCTTTGTCCATTATCTAAACATTTTGCTTGAATTTTACAGCTTGAGCACAGGTTTTTATGAAGAATGGTTTCTTTTAAACAGGAACCAATTTGGAAGAAATTGCAGGAAATGTAAAAGAAAAAAAAAGATTGATTCATCATGAAAGACATCAGCTTGATGACTTATATCAGCCGGATCTCTATTCTCTTCTAAATGTTGCTGCCAGGACTAGTTCGCTGCTTGATAGGTTTCCAAGAGGCTCTTTACCTAACTATAAATAGGTTATATTTACCACAGAGGGGGGTTAGTAGTAATTTGCCCCATTAAAGATACAATCCAGTAGAACATGGACATCCTGCTGTTGACCTGACTCAGGAAACCAATAAATGGCTAACATTTTCTTCCTAGATTTTATCTTCTGCAGTTGATTGCAGTGCTTTCTAAAGCCAGGTAGTTCCAGGTAACTACAATGTATTGTCAAAGTAGCACAAGATCTGAGCAAAAGCGCAGACCAAAGTGGTCAAACATTGCTATCACCCTCAGGGCTTATTAAAGTGTTACTAAACGCACAACAGTAAAATCAGTCTGTATATGCAGTAAAGCATGCTCACTGTGGAACCTAAGGGGTTAATCCTCTGCATTGTGTAAACAGGCTGTTTGATCTCTTCTGTGGTCCTCCCCTTCTTCCATTGTCCCCTCAATATATCCTGATAGAACAGAGGTTTGAAGTGCACATGCTCAGTTTGGTGTGTATAGCTAGAGAGATTTTGTTTTTTTCTTGGAGAGTGCATGTGATCAGCACAGGACCAATCAGCACTGTCCAACAGAGGTCAGGGGTCCTGCATCATCTTAGAGGAGAATGAAAACTCCTCCTACAAGCTGTAACCAGTGCTCAGCTGGACACTGATAGAAGTCACAAGACTGCTCTAACTGCTGATGAGAAAAGGTATTTAGCAGTTTATATTTACTAAAATAATTGCATTTCCATGTTGTGTGTACTGTGGGAGACCATATGTAGTGAAAGCAGGGTCCTGGGTTTAGGAACACTTTAAAGTTTAGTTGGGGGGGGGTAAGTAAGAACAAGAAATTGAGCTGTATTTTTACCACTCCCTCTAAGGCTGCAAAGGCACCTGTGCAGGGGTATACATATGCTACAGCCTGGAAAAATTATCCACATCCCACCGTACATGCCCCAATTCAAAGGTTCTTAACAGCTCCCCCATTTTTTTTAGCCTTGCTGACCGGGTGGAGTGTTGTGCACAGTTCAGATACTCACCCACCCAGACGATCCAGCATTATCCTGCTGGGAACCCCTTCCGCCGCCTCTAAAAAAAAATCCAGCCACTCTTTAGCTGCTCAGATTATTTTTACTTTATTCAGCAACACTAGCTCTAAAAAAATTATGTAATCGCTGCAATTGCGATATCACCCTTCCCATCCACGGACGTACGGGTTAACACTCCCTTCTCCTCAGACTGACAATGCTGCTTTCTGCTGTGCCTCCTGTGCTATTTCATCCAGAGTGGGGGCACTCTAATCAGGGCATGAAAAAGGGGTTGGCACAAGGGACGAATGCCCTGGGCATGGTGGTATCATGTTAGGTGGGGGGCACCATGTGGAAAGTTCCTGCCTGTAAGCTGATAGAAGAGGGCATTTTTGTTGGGAGGGGGAATGGTGGGGAAGTGGATTTGTGCTAGAAGGGGTGATTTAGGATGGGGAATAGGGATTTGATATTAGGGATGATTGGGGGGATTTGTGCTAGGAGGGGACATTTGGAATGGGAGGATTTGTTCTTGGAGGGTGGTTTGGGGGAGAGGGATTTCTACTGGGAGAGGAGGATATAGGGGGGAGAGGATTTGTACTCAGAGGGGCAGTTTGAAGGGTAGAGGATTTGTGCTCAGAAGGGCAGTTTGAGGGGTAGATGATTTGTGCTGGGGGGTATTTGGAAGAAAAAGATTTGAGCTGAGAGGGGGGCTGAAGGGCAAATACTTGTGGTAGGTTAGGAAATTCAGTGAGGGGGGGGGGTTATACTGGGAAGAGGTGGAAGTTTTTTGGGGGGAGAATTTTGGCTTGCAAAGGGACCTTTGGCTTGAGAATAATTGTACAGGTTAACACTTGAATTTTTTTAATGCTCATACACCTTGTGGGGATGCTGTTTGGCATCTTTGCCCTGGGCGCTAGTTGACCTTTGTATTGGCCCAGACTCTAATACAGAAAAGGTTTTCCCGGCCGGATCACCAAGTGAAAATAGGGGAAAGAGCCAAAGGAAGGAAAACTAATGCAGCCACCACGTCTAATGATTGGTAAGCTACTATCTATTGCATATTATAATTGGCAGATGGCAAAGGACAGGTTATCAGTATTAACTGTAAGCTCCCTGCAACTGATCTTTTCCCATTATTGTCTTACCATTATTCTGCACTGGGTCTCTGTATGAAGGCAGCCATCTTTGCAACAGCAGGGATGTGCTTCCTCATGCAGGAGCGAAAACAGCAAGAACAACAGTGAGCAGCACAGCATGACCAACTCCCACTACAAATCTCACAAGGTGAGCTGTCAGAGACAGCTGTGTCTGAAATTCACACTGTGGATAGAAATCTAGGAGGCTGTAGGCATAGTACTGCCTAGGCACCGTCACATACCAGAACGCTTCCACATTTTCCCTATAACATAGCAAATCTTCATTTTTGAGTTAATTTCTAAGACAACGTACTGTATATTGTTGAATGTCCCTAGCGCTAGGCATAGCTAAAGCCTAAGTATAGCTCAAATTAAACACAGAAGGGTCAAGAGAAGGGACAAATCAAAAGGAAAATGTGACATTCCAGGGCATAAAACCTTTTATTAAACTCAGCGCATAAAACAACTTACATTTGTTGGTGCCAGGCTGGCTGACACCAAACAAATCAGAGTTGTACAAATTGCTTTTTTCTTTTGGTTTTATGGAATGTAGATGACTTAGGGTTCATTATTTATTTATTTCAGGTACTTATATAAAGCTGTCAATTTCACAGTACTTTACATATATATTGTACATTCACATCAGTTCCTAACCCTCAAGGGGGTAAATCTAAGATCCCTAACTTACATTCATACATACACATACTAGGGCCAATTTACCTACCAGCAATTACCAACCAGGAGTCTTGTGGGGAGAAAGCAGATTACCCAGAGAAACCCACGCAGTCATAGGGAGAACATGCAAACTCCAGGCAGGTAGTGTCGTGGTTGGGATTTGAACCAGCAACCCTAGTACTGCCAGGCGGAAGTGCTAACCATTTAGCCACTGTGCTGGGTTCATGCTTAGTATATTCTCTTAGATGCTTTTCTCCATACAGGAAAAAAGCAGCAAGAAAAAAACTCTGTAAAAGCCGCATTTTGCGCATGCACGTTTATGTGCATTGACTGGTATTTGTGAACACTTGAGCATTTGACATTACATCATTCTAGTATTCAGAATATAATTTATTCTGGCCTTTAGAATGTATTAATGCATGAACTCTCAAATAAGCGCAATTGCGCCTAATGTTTACATGTGTTTGAGCATGCTTGCGTGTTTTTTCACTCCAACTGTTCCTCTTCAGAACGTGCAAGTGATGTTTTATTTCTGCCTCTAAAGGCCTTTAACCACTTGTCCCCCTGAGGATTCACCCCCCATCCTGACCAGGCCATTTTTTGCGTTACGGCGCTGCGTTACTTTAACTGACAATTGCGCGGTCATGGGAGGGTAATGTGCCTTCTCCCAGGCTGGATCAGCCCTGGACAAGAAAGAACCCAGATCTCCATGTGCTCACTGAATATATACAGCCACCCAGCATGCCTAAGAGCCCTTCTCTCTGGGCGAGGCTGAGGCTGGATCAATATTTGTGCTGCTATCTGCATAACTCCACACCTATCATCCAGAAACTTCTACATTTTCCTGGATACAGAGGACGCTAGAAGCAGCTGAGCACAGAGCGCACAGAGCAGACCTAACTAAATGATCACAGCTCACCAGGTACAGTGAGCTAACTATGGTTTTCTCTAACAAATATTGACAAATAGTGACAACTAAATGTACCTCAGATGTATGTATGTAGTTCTATCCATCTAACCCTACTACCTACCTAGAAAAGTGCTACACAAGATTCTAACTATTGGGTTTACATATCACTTTAACTGCCTCCCCGCCGCCATATAGTACAATGACGGGCGCAAGGCGGTTCTCTCATTCTTGGAGTACATCATATGACGTACTCCCATTCTAACTGCGCATGCGCGGCTCAACGGGAGCATCGCAGCTGCGACGATCGGATACAGTGTCACTTTGAACCGGAAAGAGCCAAAGATTGGCTCAATCATGTGATCAGCTGTGTCCAATCACAGCTGATCACATGTAAAAGGGAAAATGACGGTTATCGGCATTTCTCTCATGAGCTGTCACGCTGAGGAGAGCCGGTAATCGGCATTCCTCGGAGGGGACATGTACACTGATCATCAGAGTACTGATGATCAGTGTGCCCTGATGATCTGCGTAGCCCCAGCAGTGCCACTGTGTCAGTGTCCATCAGTGCCAGCTCTCAGTGCTCATCCATGCCACCTGACAGTGCCCATCAGTGCCACATTTCAGTGCCCATCAGTGCACATCAATCCCACATATCAGTGCCCATCTGAGCTGCCTTTCAGTGTCACCCATCAGTCACTTATCAGTGCCAGTCAGTGTCATCTATTATCCAGTCAGTGCCAACTATCAGTGCCAGTCAGCTGCGCCTATCAATGTGCATCAGTGCTGCCTATCAGTGCCCGTCAGTGCTGCCTGCCTATCAGTGCCACCTAACCATGCCAGTCAGTGCCAGCCAACAGTGCCAGTCAGTGTCGCCTATCAGTGCCGCTATCAGTGCCATATATGAGTGCTGCCTTTCAGTGCCCATCAGTGATGCCTGTCAATGTCCATCAGTACCACCTACCAGTGCCTCCTCATCAGTGCCCATCAGTGCCATCTATCAGTGTCCATCAGTGCAGTCTATCAGTGCCCATCACTACAGCCTCATTAGCACACATCAGTAAAGGAGAAAAATCACTTATTTACAAAATTTTATAACAAAAACTAAGAAAAAACTTTTTTTCAAAATTTTCAGTGGTTTTTGGTTTGTTTAGGAAAAAATAAAAAACCCAGAAATGATTAAATACCACCAAAATAAAGCTCTGTCACAAAAAAAAATTATAAAGATTTCATATGGGTACAGTGTTGCATGACCGTCATTGTGTCTTAAAATATCACTTCTTGAATATGCAGAAGCACAATATGTACAATATCATATATGTAATATGTGCAGTATCCAATATGTACAATAGTAAAATTTTGTACAAATCTGATGCACCTCAGTTTTATCGTGCTTTAAAGATCAGCATTAGCCAGGAAATATGCACCATGCAGAAGGCTGAGGCCAGGAGGATATCTTATCTGAATACTTTCTGCATACTAAAGCTGCCCCTGACACCTTCTCCTTCTGGCTGCAGCCGCCAGTATGATAAATCAGTAGGCAGATCTATCATATCACAAACCATCATCACCATCTACTTAGCTGGATGCACATTTATATGGGAACAGCTTATTAATAATATGATCTGCCTGTAGCTTGTGGATATTAGGGAGCATCAAGACAGATGACTTAAAGTGAGTCACAATTTCAACCGATTTAATTCTAGAAATGTAGATGGAGTGGTGGTGGACTGTCATCCTCCATTTAACACCATTAGAGTCTTCGTGAAATACAACTTTTACAGCAGTGAGCAGAAGAAAGTTGTACATGCAAACATTATACTTCATTTGAAATACAAAAGCAATAATTATTCAGACCTATTACCTAATAATAAATAAAGTCAAAGTATTGATTCTCAAGTATAACAGAAAAAGAAAAAAGACTGAATTGAAGAACGTTTTACTATGGTAACTGTGGCCCTTTCTCATATTTTGACTTCTATCAGACAGATCCTGTCTCAGTGGATATCAGGAGACGAGCAAAAGAAACAGACATGGAATGTTGATTTTGGTGCTCTTGATTACATTGTATAACTGTTTTCTGCGCTATCCAATCAAAATCTTGCTTGCCGCATCTATTTTGCTTCGCTAGATTTATATGATTTTACAGTGAGGTCCATAAATATTGTGGGACATCGACACAATTCTAACATTTTTGGCTCTAATTGCTTTCCCAATGGATTTGAAATTGAAACGAACAAGATGTGCTTTAACTGCAGACTGTCAGCTTTAATTTGAGGGTATTTACATCCAAATCAGGTGAACGGTGTAGGGCTTACAACAGTTTGCATATGTGCCTCCCACATTTATTAAGGGACCAAAAGTAATGGGTGACAAATAATAATCATAAATCAAACTTTCACTTTTTAATACTTGGTTGCAAATGTTTGCAGTCAATTACAGCCTGAAGTCTGGAACGCATAGACATCACCAGACGCTGGGTTTCATCCCCTGGTGATGCTCTGCCAGGCCTCTACTGCAACTGTCTTCAGTTCTTTGCTTGTTCTTGGGGCATTTTCCCTTCACTTTTGTCTTCAGCAAGTGAAATGCTCAATCGGATTCAGGTCAGGTGATTGACTTGTCCATTGCATAACATTCCACTTCTTTCCCTTAAAAAAAAATTTGATTGCTTTTGCAGTCTGCTTTGGGTCATTGTCCATCTGCACTGTGAAGCGGCGTCCAATGAGTTCTGAAGCATTTGGCTGAATATGAGCAGATAATATTGCCCAAAACACTTCAGAATTCATCCTGCTGCTTTTCCTCAGCAGTCACATTATCAATAAAATACAAGAGAACCAGTTCCATTGGCAACCAATACATGCCCACGCCATGACAATACCACCACCATGCTTCACTGATGAAATGCTTAGGATCATGAGCAGTTTCCTTTCCTTCTCCATACTCTTCTCTTCCCATCACTCTGGTACAAGTTGATCTTGGTCTCATCAGTTCATAGGATGTTGTTCCAGAACTGTGAAGGCTTTTTTGAGATGTCGTTTGGCAAACTCTAATCTGGCCTTCCTGTTTTTGAGGCTCACCAATGGTTTCCATCTTTAGTGGTGAACCCTCTGTATTCACTCTGGTGAAGTCTTTCTCTTGATTGTTAACTTTGACACACATACACCTACCTCCCGTGAGATGTTCTTGATCTGGCCAACTGTTGTGAAGGGTGTTTTTTCTTTCACCAGGGAAAGAATTCTTCTGTCATCCACCACAGTTGTTTTCCGTGGTCTTCCGGGTCTTTTGGTGTTGCTGAGCTCACCGAGTGCGTTCCTTCTTTTTAAGAATGTTCCAAACAGTTGTTTTGGCCACGCCTAATGTTTTTGCTATCTCTCTGATGGGTTTGTTTTGTTTTTTCAGCCTAATGATGGCTTGCTTCACTGATAGTGACAGCTTTTTGGATCTCATCTTGAGAGTTGACAGCAATAGATTCCAAATGCAAATAACACACTTGAAATGAACTCTGGACCTTTTTGATCTGCTCATTGTAATTGGGATAATGAAGTATATAAAACACACACCTGGCCATGGAACAGCTGAGAAGCCAATTGTCCCATTACTTTTGGTCTCTTAACAAGTGGGAGGCACATATGCAAACTGTTGTAATTCCTACACCGTTCACCTGATTTGGATGTAAATACCCTCAAATTAAAGCTGACAGTCTGCAGTTAAAGCACATCTTGTTCGTTTCATTTCAAATCCATTGTGGTGGTGTATAGAGCCAGAAATGTTAGAATTGTGTCGATGTCCCAATATTTATGGACCTGACTGTATACACAGTTTTGAGAAATACAAATTTCATGCTAAAGAAATTTCCAAACAGGCGGACTGACCATTTGGAAACTTGGGCACTGCCATGAGATGCCCCTGGTACCTTTTTCATAGGCTTTTTTGAGTTTGGGCAAGGACATAGGGGCCCCATGATTCCCTATTGGCCAGGGGCCCCATGAGTTGTCAGTCCACCCCTGTTTCCAAATAGAGTTAATTAATGAATGCATAAATTGTATAAGGGTGAAAATTATTTTGCACCGAACCAAAATAGGTGGGACATTCTATTTTGCTATAATGTTAATACAGTGTATAATCTAGCCTGTATAAGAAGTGCTCACCCCCTAAAGGACCCACTGATTTGGTCCTAGGGTTCTTTCCCCAGTAGATGCACTAGCAGCCAGGCACACAGTCTCAGACACTCTTCTGGCTCAATTATTAGTCTAGAGTACATGTATCAAAAATAAGGACACAATCAGGCCCACCAGGCCATTTTATGTGGCCCTCACACCTCTCCTGCAGCTGCTGCACCCCCTTTGTCACCCCCCTCATCTCAGCACTTGGCATCAGGGAGGTGGATAGAACTCCTCTTACAGATCCTGCACCTCTCTGTGCAGTTGTAACACTCCGTCGTCTCCGTCTCTCCTGGTCTCAGCATTCAACAGATTCCAGCAGCTCACTCAAGCCCTCCTCCTCGGGTTCTCCTCCAGACCCTGCACTTTCTCCTTCTCAGCTCCACTTCCAGTGTCTTTCAGGCAGCAGCACAAGGTAAGGCTGCCCATACATTATACAATTTTCTTGAGAATTTTGCTTTAGATTTACTGAAAGCTATATAATATGAGGTCAAACCTAAACAACACATTCAATTGTATCCAATCAATCAGGCCCTTGCACTACATAGTTGAAGGTAAAATCTAAAGGAAATTGGGCAGAAATTGGTCAGAAAACTGTAAGAAAATTGTATAGTGTATGGCCAACCTAAGGGACATGCACTGTGATGTAAGGGAGGGTGGGGGGCTCTTGACATTTGATGTAAGGGGGTGGAGTGCTCTGGACATCTAGTTTTACAGATACAACCAATCCTTTGAGGGCAACCATAATGCTGATGTGGCAGGCAATGAAACTGAGTTTGACTTCCTTGGTCTAGGGGTATTCTTTTTGAATTTGATGCAAGAACATAGTCATTGGGATCTCACAACCGGTTGTCCCTGTACAGTTGTACGCCTCCTTTCATTATCAGCCAGACATTTCTCCCATAAACTCTTCAGACCAGATTCCAAAAAGAAGCCCCTCAGTCAGCTCCAGCACAGCTGCACTGCCCAGAAGGGCTTCAGGCTGGAATCTTCTTCTTCTGGGCAATAATCCCTCTACTCCAGACCTCAGACCATTTATGTTCACTCCTAGCTACCATTTGGGCATCCATCCCCAGGGATTGGCTTGGACCACATAAATATTCAGACTGGAGATTTTACTCTCTCAGCTGACTATTTTTCAGAACCATCCAGAAGACAGGGGGAAGTAGCTAAATCCACAGTCTGTGAAACGCAGACCAGAGCAGATTAATCATAAGCAGCTACATTGATTACAGGAGAGCTAAAAGACTAAATGTACCTAACCTTGCACCTCTCTAGAAGGGTGCTACATATATAATAAATAGAACAGGGAACATCTGGGAAGGGCCTTAGATTAAATTGTATATAATTTAAAAATTATACCTGAATGTATAAAATGATTACCTTTATTGGATTACATTTATTACCTAATAGCAAAAATAATGTCTGTGTCAGTGGAAATCAATCTTCAAGTTATCGTCTGTGCAGCAATGAAAAGCAAATTTTATTAGGTGCTCACCAGACAATGAGACCCTCATATGTCAATGGGTCATATCAAGTCTGTGCAATAATGAAAATCGCCACCAAGTGTCAATTCGCCTCCCCAGTGCCAGAGCATCCAAGGTCCTTCAATTCCTAATTTCACTCCATCCCACTCAAAAGTGTATAAAAAAACAAAAAAGAAGACCTATAGTGTAATATTACATAAATCAATCAATCCGGTATTATTTGTGCTCACATAAATGT